ATTCCCATCAACAGCTAGCAAGAGTTCTAACTTCTCTACATCCTTGCTAAGAGTTGATATCTTTTGTTTTTGATAATAGACAACCCTAACAGGTATGAGGCAATATCACATTGCAGTTTTGATATGCATTTCCCTARTAATTAGCATTTTTGATAAACATTGATCATTTTTTGATAAACACATTGACCAATTGTATGTTTGCTTTGAAAAAATGCAATTTACGTCTTTTGCCCATTACATTCTTTTCTTACTATTGAGTTAATAGAAGTTCCTTATGGTAGTTTAGATATTTACCCCTTATTATTTATAAGGTCTGAAAATATTTTCCTCTCATTCTATTGGTTGCCTTTTCATTCTGGTACTTATTTCYTTTAATTTCTTCATGTCCATGAAGTCATTACCAAGACCAATGTTGTAAATATTCCCTCTATGTTTTATTATAGTAGTTTCAGACTTCATGTTTAAGTCTTTAATCAATTTTGAATTGATTTTTGTATACAGCATGAGAAAATTTCCATTTTCAACCTTTTGAATGTGGATATTCAATTTTCCCAACAATATTTGTTGAAGAGACTATCTTTTCCCCATTGTGTATTCTTGGCATACTCATCAAAGTTTATTGTTTCTGTGTAAGTTTATTTATAGTCTATTTCATTGGCTCATATATCTACTTTATGCCAATACCATATTGTTGTGAGAAAAAAAGAAGAAGGAGGAAGAAGAGGAGGAGGAGGAGGAGGAGGAAGAGGAGGAGAAAATATAGATAAAATAAAAAGCAGAACAAAAAAGGAAAAATTATATAAATACAAATCAAGAGGGAAAATTAGAAAAAAGAAAAATCCAATTAAAGAATAAACACAGAATAAGACAAAAGTAAGAGAAAATGGTGAGATATAAAAAGTAATAATAAAAGAACAGATGGAGGAAAGAAAATGGGTCAAAAATTCTTCTTAGCCAAGGTTCTTGGAAACATCTCTCACCTGTTCTTTAAGATTGGAATCTACCAGGTATGGTGGGCAAGGTAATTAATTGCAGCTGCTGCTTGTTGTCATGCCTCTCAGTTGTCACCAAATAAGTTATGATGGAAAGCAGGCTGTGCCCCACTTTTCTCACAAAACAGGTTAAGGAACGTTTACAATGTCATATTCCCTCCAGAGGTTTTTAGATTGTGCCATCAACTTCCAGGGCTCACCTATAGTCCCTCACCTCCTCAAATAGTTACACACTTACTGCTACTTTGTTTCTACTCCCTGGAGAAGCAAACTAGGGCAAGTTATCTCTTGAAAACCACCTTGAAATCCCTGTTTGGCATCCTTTTGTTTCTACTTAAAGAACTCATTTATTTATTTAAAAGATCCATCTAGTGGTGATTAACTTCCTTGGCTTTTGTTTTGTTTGTGAAAGTCTTTATTCTTCTTTGTCTTTTGGAGGACAGTTTTGTGAGAAATAGCATTTTTTTTGTTGGACTTTTTGTTCCTTTCATGACCTTTTGGGGTCTTTTTCTGTAACCATGGATAGTTTTATTGAGATTCGCTTGTATGTGACTAATCACTTTGTTATTGGTAATGTTCTCTTTAACTTTGACAATTTGATTAAAACATATCTCAGTTTAGATCTTTGAGTTCATCTTATTTGGGTTTCTTGGCCCATTTTCTTCCCTGGATTTGAGAAGTTTTCACTCATTATTTCTTTGAGTAAGCTTTCTAATCTTTTCTTTCTTTTGTTTAGGATTTCCAAAGTCTATAAATTGGTCTGCTTATTGATATCCCATAGTTTCTTTAATCTTCCTTTAATCATTTACTTCCTTTTTTTCCTTGACTGAATTTTTTTCTAACCTAAGTTCACAGATAATTTCTTCTGGTTGGTCTATTCTGCTGTTGAACCCCTTTAGTAAAATTTTAAGTTAGTTAAGGTATTCTTCATCTCTATGGTTTTTGTTTGATGAACTTTAATGTTCTCAAAGGATCTAATTAAAGTTTGCTGATTATTTCTTTTGCTTGCTCAGATCTGCTCCTGAATGCCTCCTATGGAAATTTTATATCAGTGATTATACTTTTCAGCTCAATATAGTTGCTTTAAAGATGAATCATTGTCATCTTTAAAAATAAATTCTATATTATTTTATGTTGTTCTTTGAACATTTATAATAGCTGATTTTAAATCTTTAAAATCTCGTAAGTCCAAGTTATGAGATCTCTGAAAAGCACTTTAAATTGCTTACTTTTTCCAGTATAATGCTCAACTGTTTCTTTATATGTCTTAGGATTTGTCAAAAACTGAATATTTAGATAATAGAATAGTATCTCTGAATTCTGATTAGTCTCTTCTTCCTATCCCCTTCCAATCCTTTCATTGTGCTTTTTCTAGGGTCAGACTTAGGTTTTCAGTTTTTTCCCCTATATTTTTATTTTTAAACCTGGCTTCCTACAATTTTCCCCTGGGTCAGCATCTTGAGGAATGTTTTCCATTCTTTCCCATGGTAAGTAATAATTAGCAGCTTTCAAGCGCCCAKTTTGGTTGCTCCTGAGGGAAAGGTGCCTAGTGTTTATCCATAGTCTTTTGGACCTCCATGGATGAACATGATCTTAGTAGACTCCTTTTAATAGTATCCTTGGCTGGCGCTCTGCATTGAACTTGCTGCTACCAGTTTCATGGAGCTTTCAGTCTTCTTAATTGCTCATCACTAAGATCTCTGCTATGATTTGGATATGTTTTGTAGCTTGAGGTTCATGTGCTTGAAACTTGGTCCTCAATATAATAGTATTGAGAGGTGGTTGTTATGGTTTAGATAGGAGATGTCCTCAAAAGCTCATGTGTGAGACAAAGCAAGAAAGTCTGGAAGTGAATTGATTGGGCTATGAGCATTCTAACCTAATMAGTGAATTACTTCTTTGATAGAGATTAATGGGTGGTAACTATAGGCAGGTAGGGTGTGGCTGGAGAAGGTGGGTCCCTGTGGGTGCACTTTTGGATATATTTTTTGTCCTTGTTGAGCAGAGTTCTCTCTCTGCTTCCTGTAGCTATGTAGCTCTGTTCCCAGATGCTTTCCCCTGTCACACCCTTCTGCCATGATGTTTCGCCTCCCCTCAGGTACAGAGTAGTGGAGTTGGCTGTCTTAAGGATTAAGACCTCTGAAACCATGAGTCAAGTAAACTTTTCCTCGCTAAAGTTGTTCTTGTCAAGTCTTTGGACAGAGCAGGAAAGAGCTGACGAAAACAGTGGTGATAACTTTAAGTGGTGGGTTCTATTGTGAGGTGATTAGGTAATGTTGACACTAAACTCATGAATCGATTAATGTCTTTCT